ATAGAGGTTCTTTTTCTTTGCCTCCCTCCAAGTAGGCCCAATCCCTCTCCATCTTGTGCTGTATCACATGATTTGCGTACATTGTGTTCTTGGCAGCGATCAGTGAAGCTCGCTTCACTGTATCTCGCTGTGCGGTGATGATGATGATGATGATTCACTGCATCGTTTCATTCCAGGTAATGCGACTCCAGGTCACTGAGAAGATCTGTCGATGACACTTACAGTCAAGTGCTGCAGCTTTTTTTAAGTTATCGACGTTTAGTTGCCACGTTTCGCAGCCATAGGTCAGTATGGGGCGCATTGCGACTAGTCTGTTTTGGTTTGTAAACATGACGAGTTGGCTTTCATTGGCGCATTGCTGAACAAGATTATTTTTTTCTAGGATGTCTGGTTTTATGATTTGAGTTGCCATTGCGGCTTTCCAGCTCCTACGACAAGGTATCTGTCGGTTCTGAAGCGCTATTCACCACTTTTTGTATCCGGTCACAGAAATCCGCTTGTGTGGTTTTCTCACCAGCTCGTAGACTGCGACGAATGATATGACGGGAGGTATTAAAAACGAGCTACGTTATCCTGAATTCATGTCGGATTCCATGAAATAAAAGTCCGAAAGCGACGCTGTAAAGACGGGCATTGTCCGTAGGTTCATTGTGGTAGAGGTGGTAGCTGTCATCTGCTCCGAACCGTCTCTGCACTATGTGCTGACTTTTGATAGGCATGCGAGTTCTGTTTGGTAATTTATGCACCCTGCATGCGATCCTCACGCTCCATCCGGTGATATTCATATGTTGTGGTAGATTGAGACTTCTGGTTAGCGTATTTTTTCACTTCGGCTGCCCGGGGGAATACGAAGCGCATCGTTCTCCGGGGACGCCGCAACATGAACAATGCATGAAGACAAACCATCCAAGAAGAGTCTTGGGAATGGGGTGCAAAGTAGCATCTCCAGTGTCATTCGGCTCTGTATGCGAGGCATGTTTAGCTCGGGTACGGCCAAGTGCTAGCTACCGGGCAATAAGCAATGAGTGTGTTAGGAACCCGTGACTGATCCAGCGGTTCGTACACCTTTTGGCCGCTGTTCTACCGATCCGGGATGCTAAAGCACATCTAAGATGCTCTTAAACGAATGGGAATGGGTGAGAGGGAATGATATTATTTAGTGTCGAACCGCATTCGCGGATGTCACGTTGCTGTTTGCGAACTTTTCTAGCTCTTATGTTGATAGCTTGTTACGAAGGGAGAATCTGTCACACCCTCGAACAATATTGCTAATCGTCCACCACCACCGCTGCTGCTGCTCCTCCTTTATTTACAGTTAACCACCGATGTGGTCACTCTACTATTTGTAACCTAGAGACACTTGGCGACAGCTCAACTATGCTATTGGCAGTGTGGACTCTATTTCAAACGGCTGTTTTGAGAATGGAAACAGCCTTTTCCTAAAATAAACTGGAGAAGAGAATACAGCACAGTAACGTTTGCACAGTTTATATCCGGATAGTTTTGGTGTATCTTTTCTGGAGCATATTACAAATTACAATGTACAATAAAGTTACCAATTATTTGGTCACTGCTGAAAGCTTTTCACCGGTAACAATATCTTTATTGTATTTGTATTATGCTACATAACCTGTAGCATCACCAGCAGAGATACAACAAAGCTATCCAAATATAACTTATGCAGCGTTACTATTGCTGTATTCTCTTTTAATTTACTGAAGTGTAGTGATATGAAAACAAAACATTTGTCATTCTGTGTACAGTTTTCAGCACTTTGATTCCTGCATTTGGGTAAAATGGTTTCCTAATTTTGTTTTCTAACGCATACTCAGGTCGTCATAAATACAACTGATTGTGTTACATAGCCAAAAAATCTGATCGCAGTTCTTTTATATTTTGGATTTCTCTAGAAACTGAAGGATAAAGCCGGCGATCGGTTGGTTCAACATATTGAGGCGTATCTGGATAACCGCGTAGATTGCTCTTTACTATTGGAGGATGCGGAAGCCAAAGAGACAGCTGTTTCGGAACTGGAACGTCTCGAAGTTGAACTGACATCAAAAATTTCCACAGCGAAAGAAACAGCTCGAATGGAAGCGGAGGTTGCTTTTAAGGTTTGTCCCATTTTTCATCTCTCGTCGAATCGATCTGTGTCACTAAGTCCCATCGACAGGGATTGGGCGACATTATCGAATGTTTAGTGTGTTTATATGCGCGGTGTTCACGTTTTATTTGCATCGCAGAGGAGTCTATTGATACTATTGAGTACGACCTTGGTTTGCGTCATCGGGAAAAGTTTCACTTTCAGGCCTGGTTTACGGATTTTTTCAACCCAGTACATTTATCTTCTTATCTGTGCACAAATTACTTATTTGCCTTTTGTCTTTTGTTGAACTTTCTGTTTAGCTGATTGCCGCTAGGAATATGCGGTGCCTTTGTGGGTTAGATGTTACTAATCCGACCAAATTCAACTCTGCGTTGCAATCTCATGGATGAACTAAAAAAGATCACCAGATGCTGACGAGCTGCAACAACCGCGAAACCGGTACCAGGGAAATTTAGACCAGTTATTCACATACTACTTGTTGTGCAACATGTATAAATACATGTTTCAGGTTGAAGAGATCCATATAATTGCGAAATAGAATTCCGTGCATACTCTCCCATTCCGATTGTTAAACAACACGGTTGTTCTTATCTCAAATACCACAATGAAATAGTGTGCGATTCTCGGGGTTATGTGGACTCATCTTGTTCCGTTAACGATTGCTCGCAATCACTATTGAATCGTGTTGCCTCATCTTTTCTGCTCCTCGAATCGCGGGGATTGTTTGTAGTCTTACCGGTAAAATCTGCAGAACCGCGAGGATTTCACAAGGTAGTTTGTTGAGGTATTATCAGACTTTTGGATCATCATAAATATTTTCTCTTTTGATTCGAAAAGTGATTGTTCTTTTCTGGTTATGTTCATCATGTTTGGAAATTTGGGAGTGTTTATCCCTTGCAATTCTGTCAATCTCTGTCGAAAGTAGCTTTCCATATATCTCGTCAATGACTTCTCGATATTTTCAAGTTGTTGCTTGATGCGGCCTGAAGAGAACCATTCATTGATAACCCGGCACTATTTTAGCATTGCTTCCTAAGCTGTCCGATTTGCCGTCCTAGTGGATGTATCGCTTTTTGGATATCTAACTGCTAATTTGCACTTGTGTGTGTATGCGCGTCTGTAAATGGTGTTAACCGGAATAAACGTTAGTGAAATCTCCGTCTCGACAGTTGATATTTAGTATGAGTCCAATCCTCTGGTTGTTCCGTGTGTTGCACAGTTTTTGCTTTGTGTTCCAACCATTGTCTACTCGGATCTTCATTCTACTTCGGTCCCACTTGATTTTCGAATGCTTGTTTATTTCCCTTCGTTCTATTCTGTGTTAGACTCGCGAGCTCGAATTGTCCGAGCTCGTCGAATCTTTGCGTAGTCGTATTCGAGATTTAAATGTGGCCTCTTGGGACCGCGAAAACGCGATGAAACATCGTGTAGACGAGTTGCAACAAGCATTGCAAACATCACGTTCAGAAGTGAACAAACTACAGGCTGCCTTGGATGCACTGAAGACAAGCACCGTATCTTCCGAAAAAGTCTTTGCATCGATGGCCACATCAACAA